GGTAAGTCTGTGGAGGGGCAGGGGTGAGAGAAGGGACGGAGGAGGGCAGATAGAGGCCCGCATTGTGAGGGAGCTGCTGTGTTGAATGGGGCCTCAGGGCCAGGGTGGGTTGTGGGACAGAGCTGCGGTGGCTCATCCATGGGCATGGCTCCCCGCCACTGCGTGTACTCTCAGAGGAAGCATAGGGAATACGTGCCCCCCACCCCACCAGATTTGTGCGAGAAGTGGAGGTGAGCTGCCTGCTGTGGGCTGGGGCTCTTCACCCTGCTGCCTTTGCTTTGGGAGCTGAGACACGCCATGTTGTGCCTCCTGCCACCTGGTGGGGGACCCGTGTCATGGCCAGCATGTGGTCCTCAGGGCAAAGAGCCCCAGCCCACAGCAGGCAGCCTACTTCCACCCTACACACAAATTCAGAGGGTATGTGCCCCCCATGCCTCCCCTGGGGATGCGTGCAGAGGTAAGGAGCCCTCCCCCTCCGTGCTCCTGGATGAAAGCCCACAGCTCTATCCCACAACTCGCCTCTGGCCCCATTCACTCAGCCCCTGCCCCACTCCCTCCCTCACTGTGGGAGCCTCGATCCACTCCTTGCCCCTTCCCTCTCCCTCTGTCCCTCCCCCTCCACAGACTTACCTGCTGGTCACTGTGTCTGCATCTGCCCCTCACTCCCAAACCACAGCCTCCCATCCCAGCTGCTGCCCCTCTCTCCTACAGTACCCTGCATCCTGCCAGGGTGTGCAGGGACCACCCCCCTGCCCCGTTCCTGGGCTCCAAACCCCACACCCCACCCACCTTCACAAATTCCCCCAACACACCCCCCCACCCCCAAACCATTAAAAGTACTTGCATAATTTTGAGTTTTTTTGTGCACAATCTTGATTTTTTAGCTATGCGATTAAAATAGCAATTCATTGCAACTAATTTTTTTTAATCATGCAACTAATCACAATCAGATTCTTTTATCATTTGACAGCCCTATAATAAAGCTATTCACTTGCTGCAAAGCACTAAGACAGACCACCCGGTCAGAATGTTTTTGACACTTTGAATTCCTGTTGGAAACTTCTGAGCTTGTCTTGTGAATGATGTGTAGGTGTTTGTATGCCACAGCACCCTTCAAATAATTTGATAGCACCTTGTCTTAGAATCATTAGCCTAACTACTCCTATCAAAGTCAGCAAAAAAAAAAAAAGCGGGGAACACTTAGTGTACACTGGGGAACAAATAGTATACTGTTTTACTAAAGAACCTTAAAAATTTTAATATTGTGGATTTCTGTGAATACTAATCAGAACCTTTCCCATTACGATGAATGCAAATGTTTCTTCAGAATCTGTTTCTCCACATTTCAATACTGAGGTGGAATAATTACTGTAATTGAGAAACCTAAGTATCAAGGTTTCAAGTAGCGCAAAAAAATAATTTGTTTTAGGAAGTAAACATTATATGTATTATTTTAATCTTTCATTGAGCATTCCTTTGTAAACTGTTTGAGATGGTTTTAGTAACATACTCCGTGACCAGCATGGGAGCCAGTCTCTCACCTTAATGACCTCTACATTTTGTAGCCCTTATTATTTTATTTTATTTGTACAATAAATTATTAGATTTCTCCAGTTGCCAAATGCTGACTCTCTGAAAGCTAGTGTGTTTGTACTCCTTTATTTTCTGAAACCTTTTCCTGTATTATATTGACTATGATTAGCTGTTGATGACTACTAAGTCTTCCCACTATTTACATGTTCTCCCTCACTTAGCTGTTCCATGCACATAAGGAGTTAATCCAGTAGTACTCTTTCTGTATTAGGTTCTCTACTCTCTGGGTAATAAACTAGTCTTCTGTGTATCTTAAAACTCCCTTTAATTAAAATGTATCTGGCACTCTGTCTTTATTAGTATAAAAGAAAAGAATAACCGAAGACAGACATTGACAAGCGTGTAGATAAAAGGCTAAGATGCAAAATTGCTAGCTGTGAGTTCAGATCATATAAGTTACCATCAAATGATACAGGGACCTTGACACTTTCTGGTATGGGAAGGGACTTCATAAAGGCTTATGCATAGAATGATCTATTTGGGAGTACCAAGCTATTAAATGGAAGATCAGATTTTCTAGTTAAAGCATTAAGTGTACCAGCATCAAAATTTACCATCTTAAGAAGCATTTTGCATAAACCAAACTTCAGCTTTAAGACTAATGGACCTGAAGATAAGGCAAACAATCCCCAAAACCAATATCATATTATGTCTGAACAGGCACAGTGTCCAGAAACAGGATTTAAGAACCCTGAGTTTCAGTCCAGAAATTTTTCTATTAATCCTCCTGTAATCCCACTGGCAGGTAGTGGCTTCTCATCTGTTGTATTTCATTACTTTTAACACACTTGTTAATCAGTATCTCAGTGGCATACTTTTGACAGACTGCCACATTTTACCTACTCCACAGATTGCACCTATTTATACTCACACATTTCATTTTTATGAAAGTCTTTTCACATTGCTTATTTATGAGTATTATCTTGATCCTTTAGCATGACATTTGGTTTTCATTCAACGTATGTCAGAGGAGGGACTACTACTACAACAGGTTGTCAGGCTAACACTAACACTATGCTGATTAGAAGACTATGCGAATAACATTTTTACCTTAATGTTTTATGTGCTCTGGACAAAGATAATTAAAGGGAGAGGAAAGCTTAATTCAGTCACAAAACATGGAGCTGGAAGGGACCTTAAGAGGTCCTCTAATTCAGGAATTGGCAATATATGACTAGTGAAGCTAGGGTCTTCACAGCTGGGAGCTTTCCCATACCATGCTGCCTGCTGCAATGCAGTAGTAGGGAGAAGCAGGGCAGGAAAAGGCATTGGTGGTGGTGGCAGCTAACTGGGTCCTACTGCTGTCTTAGTTTAGACCCAAGTTGGGCCATTCCAGCCTGCTGCTGGAAACATTGCTGACTGCTGCTCTAATTAATTTTTCCCCAACACAGGTTTAACTAAACCTGATCTTCCTAATGTTAGGGGTGAGAAAAGAAACATTTAAGAGCCTGAAAACTCAAGTTATTAATATCTCATTAACTTGTCATATCATTAATGTCAAGCTCTTTTAAAAATTGACAAAAATACTCAACTTGCAAAGTGGTGAGTATAATGTCTGCTATGTAAGTTTTCAAAAGACCCACTGGATTCTCCCTTGCTCAAACTGCAAAATCTAAGAGAGCAGCACCTTTTCAGGATTTTTACAAATTCAAGTTAAAAACATTGTATGGGCTTTAAGAACTCCATTTTAGGATTGATTTTTGCTTTTAAAGCAGGTTTTACAATCTGTAGTGTTAATGTGAGAAAAAGTTTACTCTAAAAAAAAACAAAAAAAAACAAAACCTGTGTAATCTGGGATCACAATCACTGATTTATCAATCACAATGAATAGCATTACTACTCAAAGTTTGTCAAAGACTGCCTGCATGAATTAATGACATAATCACATGTTGAGATGTTTAAAGTTCTAATTTTATGCCAAACATCAAGAGTCTACAATACTCATTCTTTTGGAAAACCATAAAACCAATGTGTGGTTTTTTTCACCTCAAATTACTTTTAGATACCTTCATCTTAGCAATCATCATGTAAATCTACTGAATCAAGAAACAGATCCACTATGGTATCATTACTTTTCAAACCAAGAAAGTTTCTGAGGTAAAGTTCTATATAATGAAGAGTGCATACTCTAATCAAAAAATGTAAGAAAGAAGCCCTATGTGTTTTCAATTGAAAAGAAAAATGAGATTTAAGAGGTAAAATGGTGCTTAAAACTAAAAGCAACAAAAACAAGCCTGGTAAAACTGCAAATGAAGGTTGCATGACACTTTCCATGATAAAGACCTTGTTTCCAGTTGTTCCACTTTGCCAAAATAAACATCATGTAAAATCTTAAAAAGTGCTTTGTAAATAACATGTTATGACAGAAAATTAAGCTTACTTAATCTTTTTTAGTCAAGTTAAATGGTTGGTGCTTTGCCAAGGATAGATCAATCAACCTTGCTGGGATTTGTCACAAAGGCCTCACTAAAAAATCTAATCAGTAGTAGCAATGGGTGCTATGTAAAGGACAGACACTTAGTGTAAACTGTGCTCACTATGAATTTCTTGTTCATAGGGAACAGCTGTAATCCCCCATCCCCACCACAGGCGGGATTCAATGAGTTACCAATACCTGGTCAGGGTACGATAAGAAAATTCAAAGTCAACTCACTTCAATCTTAACATACTGTTGCACATAAGATTAATGTATTCAATCTTAATTCATACTTTTGAACAGCCAGAAATGAAAATTACTTGTAGACCCAGTCAAGGAAATGTCTTTTATGTTTATGCTGACTTCCTTGGCTCATCAGGGATAATTCCTAGAACTATGCTGACGTTTTTGAATATGCAGGTATATTAAATCCAGTTAAACTTCTTGCTCTATTAGAAATATAAGAAGGTAAAGGGAATTTAGTAAACTTAAGCTGTTAGGCTTACTGTTGTGATGTATACTGCGCCTCTATCAACTTTGGATATAGCAATATTTTTTTAAATATAAGAAATTATTTTAAAACTACCCTGTGGATTTGCAAACCATGGAGATTAAAAAACAGTATAGAAAATCTTTGCTAGCCAATAATATTTGGGTCATACAGCACCAAAAAGAGTACAAATAAAATCAGTTCTTGCTGTTTTCCAGTTTTACCCTTTTCTATCAAAACCTGCTTGTCCTTCCAAGTCAAGACAAAGCTGACTATGGTGTCAACTATAAGACAACCAGTGTTATCCCAGTGACCAGGAGGTCTGTAATCAAACAACAAAAGGTGCTCCACACCAGAATGTTACTTTAGAAACAAAAGTATGCCAAACCTGCAAATTCAGATTCTTTCTATACTGGACTGCCAAAAAACTGAGGTTCTAATGCACATATATATTATGATTACTTATTTAAATGTTATCATAGAATTTGGTCCAAAACGTACCTTTCTAGTTTCAAACTGAGCTTCCTCTTGGCAACACTGTCTGCAGAATGGATCCAGTTGATTCAGACTAAACTGTCCAAGAAGGCTGCAAGAACTACATAGCAAGTTGCTGGAAAATCCAAGTTCTCTGCATGCTTCTGATGACAATTTTGTCCCATAAACAGATAGCTGAAAGTGAATATATTTGAACAATCATCACATTTTTTCTACATTTAAAATAGTTATTTATACTTGTGGAAAAGGAATGTATTTGGCAGGAAACAAGTCTTGACCCTTGAGTTCTATTCTTTATGATGCAACTAATCTTATTTGAACTAGGACAAATTATTTAGATTTAATATCCCTTTTGTATGAGATGTTTAATTAGTGTTTGTAAACCTAGTGACATCCTTAAAAATGTGCTACCCATAAGAACAATGTCTCCTACTTTCAAGAAGATAAAAATCAGGAAACCACTAAAGATATATACATAATACATATCCTCTCTGAACTCTACTTTTGCATACACTCCTGATCAGCTTTCCCTCTAAAAGCGCAGTGTGTGCGGGTACACAGGTGCCTGCCAGTGTGGTATGAGTGCACCTGAGTGTCTGCACACACCACACTGCTCAGAGGTTAATTTTAATTTCCTAGGAACTTAAATGGCATAGCAGCTGGGCTTGGAAAAGTACATGGTAACTAGCCAATTGCTGGACCGCCATAGTGGGGGAGCAGGGGGGGAGCTGCGGGCCTGGGCCAACCCAGCAGTGTGGGGGGACGGGAGGAGCAGGCTCAGGGTTGACATGGGGGAGCAGGGGTGAGGGAAGACTGGGGGAGGTGGCCTGCTCCTCCCCTCTCCCTGCAGCTGCTGTGTTGGGCTAGGCAGGGCTGGGCCAGGCCCACTGAATCTCTCCCTCACCGCCCCCCCCCACCCCAACTGCCGCAGCAAGCTGTCTTATTTCCCGGTTCGGGCTTGCCCCCTGTGTTGGGCCTGGGCCCAGTCTTCCCCTGGCCTCACCATCACTGCTGATGCCACAGCGTTAAATAAGAAAATCCTCATTTTCCTGCAGCCAACATAAAACCCGGATCCCTGGTAATCAATTATGATGATTACTCTAGTTTAAGAATCTCTAGACATAGTATTAATTCTGGTTAATGCTCAGTAATCAAGAAACTCGTCTATTTTCCTCACACTTAAATGATATAATTTGTCTTTTCTTTTCACTTCACCCAAACCAACTACTTGTGATCCTTCTTCTACTTTGCCTTGCCCATTCCCTCTCCAGCTTGAATTAGGCCAGTAGAACTGGGGGAAGAATGTCATGAGAAAGCCAGGCTCTCAAGTGATTTGCCACTCCTGCTTAATAGACATTGTCAAAAAAAAGCTACAAATAAGCCTCCGCTCCATTATGGAACACACTTGCTGGGTGACAACTGAACTGAGTCTGTGCCAGTTCTCTCTCCAGACTACAACAGATGAGACCCCCCCACTCCTCCTTGCCCCAGAGCACATTTGGCTCTCTTCTACTTGCAACATTTCAGCATTAACACTTGCAGTGTGCTGGAGTCAGGTAGGTGCTCAGCTATTTCATTTCTCATACTCAAATATCCAAAGCTGAGGTGCTTACTGGGTTTCAGCACCAATTCTGGCTAGATTCCAGCTGGCAAAGGTGAGTAAGAACATGCAAATAGGACATGGACACAATGGTTTTACTAGAAATAAACAGATCACCAATCCATAAAGTATCTAACTATATCTAGGTGTCCAATGACACCCAAAAGCTCTCAAAAAGTAAGAAGTCTTCATATTTTTTTTTGCTAATTTCATTGTGTGGGTTCAAATTCTACATAAAATATAAGATATGGTGGAGAGTCACATTAAATAAGGTTCTGTTCAAGGGCTCAACTTGTTACAGCAGCCACAACTCAGAATTAGCACCAAATGTAAATCAGATACTAGTGAAAGCCAATGTTTTATCAGCTGGAGCCACCAAAGGCTGGTTTGTTTGAACAAACTATTAATTTCAGCACAGGTCTATATGTGAAGCCTCACTTCGGGGGGGGGGGGGGGAAAGGGGGGTTAGGAGATTTTAAGTTTTTTTTACTCCTTTTTTTTCTTTTTTTT